ATAATATCATATTCGAAAGAGTGTCGAGCTGAATCGAAAGTCTCCAAAATTACCGTGATTGACAAAATAAGACGAAGTTATGACACAAAAAACAAACAACGTAAACGTATGTTTTTCATGTTATAACTTCGTCTGTTCTTGTTCAATCACGGGCATTTTGGTGTTATTCGACTCAGCTCGTCGAGCTCTTTCGAATGCAATAATTTGACAAATTTGCGCTCTGTGAAATTTTTCCCAAAATGTCAAATGTCCGAATTCGGGTACAGGATTCGACTTTTTCAAAATCTGAGCTCAGATTCGTAATCAGCATATTTTTTTACCCCAGAAACATTATTTCTCCTATTTTTAAATTTTTTCGCAGAGACCCCAATTCTCCTGGATTGCCAAATGAACCTTAACATCAATATTAAATGTGAATTAATTACCCCTTCAGAAATACTTTGGAAATTTATGTTTGTACTGTCATATTTTGATGAATAATTATTTCTTAAAACCAATTCAATATTAAATTTTGCAGATTGACTATAGTCTTTTTCAGTTCCATTCATAAATATTAATTTTGCAAACATTGTATCGTTATTGCCAAGTTGAATGGTAAATATAGGGAAGATAACATTTTCTTTTAGAGGGGATTCCAAAAAACCATTTGTTTTGTTAATTAATCCAGAAATGTTTACATAGTTTTCGAACGAAAAACTAAAAAATTACAATTTTTAATCAAATTTGTAAAATCCAGATGATGAAGCTAAGTTTCCCCTTAAAACTTTATAAAAGGTCTAATGTATTACTCTATATGTAGGGGTTAATAACAAATGAAACATTTTTAAAAGTTTTAGGTTAAATTAATAAACCAACTAAGAACAAGGCCAGAGTAGTTGGGTGGCCTTTATTGTTACTCGTTACGCTTAACGCTTTTTAAAATCTGTCAGGGTAGATCCTTATTAGCTACTATAATTTTCATACACTCTGTAACAAAATGATAGCGCCACCTAGTTTTTTATCAATATCTTACCAAATATGAAACGGATATGTTTCAAATTTTGGCAGAATATAGGTAAGGATATTACGTATCGATATTGAAAATTAAAAGTTTGTTGGAATTTTTTGAAAAATTTTCTAATAAATTTTATTTTTGAGTGTAATAAAAAGATAGCGCCAAAAGATAGCACCACTTCGTTTTTTTGTATTTTCTATAGATATCAATAGATATGTTTACAGGGATTTTTTTAAGATTTTTAGGACCACCCTTAAGGTCGAAAATACAGGTGGCGCTATCTTTTTGTTACAGAGTGTATATTGGCGAAATAAGTTTTGTCAAAATTTTGGCTATTAAATTACGGAAATTCCTAGACCCATAATAATTTTTTAAATTAAAAACACCTTTTATGAGTGTAAGAAAAGCCCAGCTTTGCAACGATTTTATAATTAATATTGTAAGTGTGATTTTTGTTGGATTTCACGAAAGAAACTCGACGAGCGCAAACACGCATTTCAACCCCATGTTTGCCCGAATCATTACATTTACGTCCATATCCACTATATGGATTGTTTTGGAGCTGGAATTTCTATTATTATTTATTTTCCTGTTTTTCTTCTTTAACCTTGATACGGTTATCTGTCTCTTTTCCCAAGTTAAATGGATCCAATTTGGATTTGTAGCATATTTGAAAAGCTTTCCACATTCCTCTGAAGAACAAATAATTTAAAAAAATTTTTTAAATTTTACTTTTCGCATTCTTTGTTGTAGGTTTTATCAATTACTTTACACTTTTTATCCAATTTATTCCGATGTACCTTTTCATAATTCCCAGGTAGACAACCTAATTCGTAGATATTTGCACGGAATTGTAAGATATTAGGGTCTTGTTTTGACGTTCGTAAATAGATTTCCTAAAATTTTTATTTAGTATTCAACCAAAATAATATTTGTTATTATATGTATTAAGACACGATTAAGTTTTTTTGTTTATAGAATAACTTCCAGAAAATTATTAAAAAGAACATTTCAAAAAAAAGAAACTATTAAAATTTTCACGTTAATATATTTTTGTAACTTACAGGTCCAGGTTTTCGTTGCTGTTTTTTCGTACTTTTTACAGTTTCAATTGTTGGAAAAATTTTAATTTGAGCCGTAAATTGTGAATATAAATTGTCATCAATCGGAGCTTTCTTAGTTGAAACATGTTTTGTTGTCGTCTGTTGAATAAATTATTAAATTAATTAGTGTTTAAACCTCATCTGAATTATTAAAAGAGTAATAAATAAGGGTAATTATTGTGACACACTATAATTTAAGTGTGCTTTAATATTATATTTTCCTTTGTTAAAGTCGGGAATAAATATAAAATGTTATATCCCAAATTGTATTTACTTCCTTGTCTCGACATTTATCGACAAACTTCCAAAAAAACATTTGGTTTGATGGAATATTTTCATTTATTCCAAACATAATATCCCATTTCAAGGCAAAAGCTCCCGAATAATCATCAAGCAAAGGCTGTGGATTCTGAGTTACATTAAAATACTCTTGATCAACCTTGCTTGCTTTCAAGATTTTATCTTAATAATATTTAGAAAATTATAAAATAAATAAATAGAACCTACGTTTTATCGGGGTATTATTTTTCTTATTCAGAATAAATTCAAAAAGCTCCAAAGTTTTAATGTTGCGCAAAATGAGTTTTCCTCTGAAAATTTTTAAAGTTAAATTTTTTATTTTTAGTTTCATTATTAATTTTTGAATATATTTTCAACGTCTCAATTTACTAACCCTTTGGGAAAAATGTCAGCATACAGTTCAAGAGATCTTTTTCCTTTCTTAAAAACAATTAAGCCGCGCCATTCGACATCTTTTATTTCTAATCCGTTTGGACGAGATTTGTTGCAAAATTCATTTCCATTTTTCTTTGTTAATTCGAAGGCCTTAGTAGGCTTCCAGCTATTTTTAGAATTCGAAGAGAGCTGACGTGGATAACATAGAAGAATTCTGAAATTTTATCAAAAAATTAGAAAGAGCTATACAAAATTTCGGTCACACGATTTTTGCTACTAAAATGTCATATAGGTTTCCTGGACTTCAAAAAATCATAAAAATCTTAGTTTTTTTGCTTTTTTGCTCAAGTACGAGGTAGTACATAGTACGAGGTACGAGGCCAATATTAAGCAGGTAAGAAGTACGTTACGACCAAAACACTTGTTACAATGGAAGCCCCTCATATAAATTTATTTTACTATTGTTCCAATTTAAAATTATAATGCTAAAATATATTTATTACCCACGACAGCTTGTTACATTTTCAACCGGGATTTTATTAAGCATATTTTTCTCTTCATTAATAATATAAGCATTATTAATAAAATCAAAATTTTTTCCTTCACTAGAACAATTCGTAAACAAAATAAAAAAACAAAAAAGCAATAAAATGGCTAAAAATGCCTGTAGAGGCATAATAACCATTGTTATGAAAATCTAAAAAATATTTTTAATATTTAAATTTGATTTCGTATCAGGGATGGGTCGGGTTGAAAAAAAAGTTGGATCAAATTTCGGATCTGGTTTTAAAAATTTTCTTCGGATCGGGTTTCAGCTCGGGTCAGTTTAAAATTTGGCCAAGATTCCAATTTCTCTAAGCGGCATTGAATATAGGTGATAAAGTGGTTAAGATGGATATATGTACATATGTAGAGGAAATGAAAAACAGGAGAAAATGAAAAATTTTGTGAGCGAAATTATCAAAAAAGCTAACCAAAGGGACTGGGAGCTATAATGAGGAGAATTAGGAAGATAAATTATTGTATATCGTTTATATGACACTATATTTAGTTGGAGTTATAACCCGATATATATGTATATTAAAGGATTTAAAAAACTAAAAAGTTATTGGTTGAATTTGTTTAAAAATAAAAATTAATTAATAATTGTAACACCAACATAAAATGAAAACTAAAAATAATGGAAAATAAAATTATAAAATTTTTTAGAAAAAGTGAAATCACTAGTGTGTGTGGTCAATCAACAAAGTATTGATGACTAAATTTATAAATTAAAAAAAATTTTTTTATATCTAGATGGAGGATATAAATTTACAAATAAAGTAAAAATTAATTAGCAGTTAATGCATTTTTTAATGGATAAAATTCACAGCTCTAATAATTAGAGTATTTGATAACTAGATGAATAATCTAAACGTTTTTAATTTTTTAAATTTAATTTTCGAATTTTGTTTATAAAAATAAATTATTTTTTTGGTCAATTGGAAAACTTTTAGGCTAATTTTTTTTAGCAAATATTGGAGTATAACAAAACAAAAATAAAAATTAAATTTACATATAAACAATTTTATTTAAAAATAAAGCCGACAATTTTATATTTAATAAAATTGTTGATTTTATTAAACTAATGTTAAATTTATTTATTAAATTCTATTTATTTTCTTTTATTTAATCAGCAGAGTAGACTAAATACTTTAAAATTTTCCAAATATCAATTGGCGAGATAAAACTTCACAACTTAAATTCATAATTTTAAATGTATGAGAGTAAATTAAAAAGTTTCGTCTCCAAATCGTTTCCAAAATTGTCTTCTACAGAACAACAGGTCAAAGCAACATAAGGTTTATACGAGTCAGAATTGTCCTTTAATAATATACCTTTACCTTCAAAATCAAATATTTGTAATTCAATTTTGAATTAGATTTTACTAATTTTTTCCCCATTAGTAGGAATCGCTGACATTTAGTAATACTTCAATTTTTACTTGGAAAATGGCTATTAATTAATAAAAAAGATTTTTCCATTTATGAGTTCTTGCGTTTTTTGCGTTGATTTTTGGCTTGTGCTGCGTTTATTGAAATTTTTAATAATATATATAAAATTTACAAATAGAGCGTTAATTCAATGAAAATATATTTATTTAAAACACAAAAAATTGATTATTTTAATTGGTAATAAATAGTAGGTATATAAATGAAAACAAGTAAAATCAAAAACAATTTAAGATTTCAATAAAATTCTTTGAGAATTTCATGTTTTGAGATGTCATAATTAAACGGCTTAGCTTCCAAATTATTTCCGAAATTGGCTTCAATAGAACAACTGATCAGAAAAACAGAAGGTTTATATGAGTTAGAATTCTCGTTCAATAAAATAGCTTTCCCTTTAAAACAATTTTTATTAAAATAATTGTCATTAATTAATTACCAATTTGTTTGCCATTTTGAGTAAAGAAAACATAAGGAAATTCATTTGTCATATTAGTTGGAGGATAAACTAATCCACAACCAAAAATATCATTATCCTTCCAAGAAATATTGTCAAGATAAAATGCATCAGCTTTCTCGTTAAAAACTGTAGCAAACTCAGCAGATAATTTAATAGATTTATTTGTAATACAACTTTTTAGACCAAAATACATCCGATTTCCGTGTTGATTTAACTCTCATTCAAATATACATTTAACTTCTAAATAATATAAAGAATAATTAAAACAAGTATGAGGTTTTTTAAATGAATTTTCAGCATGAACATAAGCAATGGCATTTTTTCCTAAAAATATTTGCAAATTATTGAAATTCAAAATAATTTACCTCCTTTCCCCTCTAAGAAATTAATATATTTAATATTTTCATCGTTAATTAAATTTCCAAATCCATTTCCTTCAATACAATTTCCAACAGGTTTGTTTGGATTTATACAATTATTCTCACAACATCTGTAAATTTCACTCCATTTATTCTTAATTCCAACAAAATTCTTAAAAATATTAATTAATAATTTACTTGTGAACACAAACTAACCACAGCACCTTGCAATGTTTTTTGATGTGTTTTAATATTTGAACCTCCACCGCCTTCATTTATTATAATCCATTTTTGTGGATCGTTTGGATCTTGGTGGAAAGTAGAGTTGGACAAAACGATACTTGTATCGGCCAACCCGAGACCGAGATTAACCGATACTCAAGAACACGATACCGAGACCGATACCATCATTTTGAGCCGAGACCGATACCGAGAAACGATACTGACCGAGACTAACAGGAAATTTTATTTTACGTCAAAAAATATGTGTAAAAATAATTTATTCATTATTTTCATCATCTAAATCATCAGATAAATAATCTTCATCATCTGGATCCGATTCAATTGATGGTTAACATCCTTTTTATAAAAAAAACAATAGTAGGATTTAAGGATTAAAGTCTACTTATACAATTATAGTACACTTAATCCGCCATTAGCTTTCCAAATATAACGATATCCGCCTTACATTAGATATCCCTCCAAATCCATTGATATCCCCTTAAACACCCAAATCCCTCCAAATAACCCAGTATTGTATTTAAGCCTTTTAATTTCATTAAATTACTGGGACTCAGTTGAGCTAGATAAAAGGGCAACTCAGTCGTGCGAGCTCAATCGTGAGGGCTCAGTGAAATGCTCGGATTTTGTAAAGCAAATAAAGAAGGATTCACTCTTTTCAGCGCCGCAGGTGAAAATTTTTTGAAATTCAGAAGGCCAATGGTCAAAAATCCTCATTTTTATTAAAAAATACAAGAAAATTGGGGTCTTTGAGTCAGTATCGTTTCTCGCCGAGAAATGGATCGAGAATTTCGGTATCGGGTTCGAGACCGAGAATGAAAAAACCGAGACCGATATTGGAAAAAAGCCGAGAATCTCGGTATCGGTCTCGGTCTCGGCTTGTCCAACTCTAGTGGAAAGACAAATGTCCTTTAAACTTTTTTAGAAAATTCATTAACAAAGAAAAAACCTAAAGTAATTATTTGTTGAGGCTTTGAAACCGGAGTGAATAGTTGCTGAGTTTGTTGTGGTTCACCTCTGACTGATGACTTTTCTGGTTCTCCTCTCTGCAAAATTAATAAAAAAATTTTAAATTTATCTTTTAGAATTTTGGTAGTTAGAAATCTATTTTTGGAAGGACTACCCATACTTGAAATTTCTAAAAAAGTTTGTACTGACGTGTAGGAAGTACAGGGCTCCGATTCGTACTTATTTCGATAGTACACTTACAAATTGACTACCGTATTTACGAAAGTGAAATGTACTTATTTGTAGTTAATCACTTAAAATTGACTTAACAAGAACCTAAATAAATAACAATCCCTTTATAAGTTGTAGGGTCTTGGACTCAATTGAGTTGCACCCAAATTAATATTTCTTCCAAATAATTAGTTTTTCGTCTTTTCGAACATTTTCTTCAATTAATTTTTGAAAATTTTGTTCAACTTTTTTAAATTTACTTTCATTATCAAAATTTATTTTTTCAATTTTCTAAAATTTATTTTTAGAAAATTATTTAAAATCTCCAAACTTTATTCATTTCCTTCAATTCATTTTCTAACTTGACAGCCTTTTCTTTCTCTTCAACCAAATTTTTTTCAAGTTTTTCAAAATTAATTTGAAGTTTTTCCAAATCATCTTTCTCTGTTTCAACCAAAAGCCAATCAGAATTTGTTGATAATTCTTTTTCAGTCATTTCGTTTTTGAATTTAAAGAAATAAATTCTGTTAAAAATTTATTCTTAAATTAAAGACAAATATGAGCAAATATAAATAAATTTAAGTTTTTTTGAAAAGTTTAATGAGTAATGTTACTTTTCATTTATCGTGGCGCAAAGTCCTCCCATTTATGACCTTTCCTCCTCTACTTATGCTTGAAGTAAATATATTTAAAATATATTTATATTTTTTATTTACGATTTTTACCTAAAGCATATATTTAAAAATAAAGTGTTTTATTAAACAAAGATACTTTGACCTATATATTAATGATATAATGTTTGGAATTTTGAATTTATAGTAAAGCAATAGACAAATGTCATGATGAGAAATAATATGTAATTATTCAAGACACAAAGGGAGGATTGGGCAAATATTTAAAAAAACTTTTTCTCCGTTTACTGAGGTTTTCGCTGCCGATATTTGAAAAATAAATACATTTTTGGTTAAGCTTGAATATTTCAATGAAGAATTTTCGCTTTTTTAAAGGGAAATTCTGTTAAAAGCTGTTCAATTATTCGTATTTTTTATTAATATTGTTTTATTTTTCTGTGTTTTCATAGTTCCACTATTATATCTTTTATAATATTATTTTTAAAATTTTTAATTTAATTTTTTAGAATCTAAAAATGGTTCATTACAAATTTGGTCGTTGTACTGTTTGCCAATTTCGTTTACGTCCTGACAATGTTTATACTTTAAAAAATTGTAATCACACATTCCATCACGAATGTGTTTCTCGCTGGATTACTGAAGGGGTTAAGGAAATTTATTTTTATCAAATTCTATTTTTAACATTTTTAGTCACAAGATTGTCCTCGTTGCCGAGAACCTGCTACTTTGACTGATATTAAACAACTTTTTGTCGAAGAAGCAGGTGATAGTTCTGACGATTCTGGTGATGAGCTCACTCAAAGTTCAAGCAATATGGCGACAAAAAATCCAAGTGTAAGTTAATGCTAAAATAAAGGGATAAGTCATTGAATAGATAATTCCTTAAATTTTATCGCGTTCTCAAAACTTCTCATTCATTTTTGGCTATTAAAATTAAATTTCTATTAATTTGGAAAATATTAAAAGTGAATTTAGGAAATTTTTATCATTATATGAATTGTCTCTTTAGTTTATAGACAATATAAGTGAAACATTTACAATTTTTTATAATTTTATAAAGTGGAATAAATGTGGTTAAGCTTTTTTTAAGCATTTAGTAATTATAACCCATTATTCAAAAAATTATTTACAGCCTTCGATGCAAAACAATGAAATCAATGTTATTATTAATGATATGAAACTCCATAAAATTAATGCTCCAACTCTTGAGGTGAAAGTTTTATTAATAAAATTGTGGAGCATTCCCCCTAAAATAACAAAAAAGGTTATTGTAGGTGTTTTATTTCACTTATTGAGTTCTTTCAATTGTAATTTTTCTTGAATCTTGGTTGATTCATAGAGTTAGTCAAAAAGAATACATAATCCTTTTTATACTTGCCTCGTGAAAAACTTTCTTTTAAAATATGTAATTTAAAAGAAAAAGATTTAGTTTTAATATTTAAAATAAATAAAAAATATTTTTTAAATTAATTAAAATTTAATTTAATAAAGGCAAATGATTTGACCGACAATAAGTTAGCTGATTTATCTAATTTCAATAATTTAAATTCTGTGGTTATTTTATCAAATAAAATGGTATTTGTTAAAATTAAAAATAAATGGAAAGAAATTGATTGTAAATGTTGTAAAAGAAATTGTATAAATAAAGACAAACCTATTGGTAAATGTATTTGGGGAAGTGGATTTGTAAATTTAATAAATGATGAAAATATTAAATATGTGTTGGGGATGGCAGGTAAATTATTTAGAATTTTTGGAATTTTTTAAAAATATTTTTAGTGCTTGATATATGTAGGTGTTGGTGTTTCTGCAGAAAATTTATTCAAAAAGCCACAAAATTCTTTTAATTATTCTTTATATTATTTTGAAGTTAATATTTACTATTATGCAAAATCTGGTGAAATATGTAACGAAAAAAATGAACATTTTAAGCTTTCAACATTCTCTTGGAATAATAACGATATTTTTGGCTGTGGATTAGTTCATCCTCCAACTAGTAAATTAAATGAGGAATTTCCTTACGTTTTCTTTACTCAAAATGGAAAATTAATTGGTAATTAATTAATTAAAATAATCATGCAAAAATTGTATTTTTTAAGGTAAGGGTGTATTATTAAAAGACAATTTTGACATGTATAACCCAGTTGTTAGGCTGTATCGTTGTTCTGTTGAAGCTAATTTTGGAATTGATTTGGAGACGAAACCATTTGAATATGATATTTCAAAACATTTAAATAAAGAATTTTATTGAAAAATTTGATTTTTAAATTTATTTTAATTTCATCATTTTAATTTACAATTAAAATAACCAATTTTATTTTGAACTTTTAAACAAATTATTTTTCTGGATTTATTAAATAAAAGTATAAAATTTAAGTTATTTTACAATTTTTTGTTCTTTTTTATGTTTTGTTAGCCCTTGAACAAGTAATATAAAAAAAATTTATTATTCGGTATTTTACTAATTTTTATTCTTTATTTCATAAATTTTGATAGGACTCAAACATTTATCGGATTCATAAACCTTCATTTTACTAAACAAAATTAGCCTTAAAGTTTCCAATTGATCACAAAAAAATAATGTATTTTTATAAGCAAAATTCGGGAAAAAATTTAAAATGTTAAGATTATTCATTTAATTATCAAATACTACTGAATAGTTTACTACTAAAATTTAAAATTAAACAAACTAGCTAATTAATATTTACTTTATTTGTAAATTTATATCCTCTATCTAGTTATAAAATATTTTTTTTAAATTTATAAATTTAGTCATCAACTCTTTGTTGATTGACCACACACATTGTTGATTGCCTTTTTTAATTTTCTATCATTTTTAATTTTTTTATGTTGGTGCTAGAATAATTATTTTTTACTTTATATTTTTAAACAATTTTAATAAATAATTTTCAGTTTTTTGAATCATTAATTTATATATTCGGTTACACCTTCATTTGATAAAGTGTTACATAAACTCTTATATAGCCACCCTACAGCACTGATATATAATCTAAGATTTTCCAGATCATTATCGTCATTTTTTAAAATATAATGGTACATCCGTCTGTTGTCAGTCCCTATAGTGTGTTTATAACTAGATTTAAGTTTAAATATTAAAAATTTTTTTAGATTCTTGTTAGGATGGTTATAGTGACTAAAGGCATTTTTAGCTACTATAAAAAATTTAGTTAATTTATTCCATCCAAGTAATGAATTTTTAAATTTAAAACTATTTAATCGTTTATCTGTTGAATCATATTTCTGTTGATATTCTTTTTTTAATTTTATAAATAAATTTATTTATGTGCATACTAATATTAAATTTTCTGTTAACACATATTTTTAGTTTTCATTTTAGTTTAGCTTTAGATAAAATACATATTTTTTAAATTTATTCGTTAGCAGTTTTATACTAGTATTAAATGAATAGATTTAACCTCTTACTCCCTAATATCACCTTTATCTTGATCCTCATACCCACTTGCTTAAACCTCAATTTTCCTATCTCTAAATAAAACTGAATAGAATGCCCTTTTGGAAGGTATTTGACAAATAGAAAACTCAGGCATTCTATTAGAGGCAATATGGTATATTCCCTATCGTTTCCCATGGTTATAACGAGGATTAATTCTTGGAAATAAAATTATAAATTTTCAGAATTTTCATTGAAAATGGTTATAATGCCTTTACAGGCATTATTAGCCATTTTAATGGTTTTCTGTGTTCGAATTTTTCTAATAAAGTGCTCCATAAACGACAGAATGTTCGAGCCCATAAGTACTGTTAAAGTAATTATGGAGAAGGACATTAATGCTGATAAGATGCCGGTTAATGCTGTGGCTGGGTGTAGCGGGTAATAATTAATTTTAATTTACATAGAATAACCGCTCAATTTTTTGATACTATCTTGACTTGACCTTCTACTTTATAAAAACGATTAATTAATTAAACTTTCAGAATTTTATTCTGCTACCCCAGCCAGCTTTCTCCCAATTCTGAAGGAAATTGGAAACCATCCAAGGCCTTTGAATTGACAAAAAAAGGTGAAAGCAAACTTTGCCTCAACTCGGAAAAGGAAGCTAAGCTCGGAAATAAAATTGAATGGCACGGCCTGATTGTATTTAAGGATGGAAAAAATGATGTAGAAATATTTGCTGATATCTTCCTTAAAGAGTTTGGATTTAAATTAAATGTTGTTTTAAAATTTGAGAAAATATTGAGAGGAATATTAAGAGAAGACTGCGATTTGTTATAACGATGCCTCTAAACTCCATCTAAAAATAAAATTCACTAAATGGTCCCTCTCTTTCTTCAACTTTTATAAATCTTTAATTATATTACAATTTAATTTTTAATAAAATTTCAATTAATTTAAAGTAACCGGATTCTCATACACGATACCACACCATCGGCACTTTTCAATTTCTTGCAAGGAAAGGATAACTCTTTAAAAGGTATTTTTTAAATCAACTATAAACAAAATTTTGTTTTATTTTTAAAGGAAAGATCTTGTTAGATAGTAAAGTTGACAAAAACTTTACAAATTCTAATAAAAAGCCAAGGCCCTTGCTTGATGATTATCCTGGAATTCTAGCGTTAAAATTGGATATTATGTTGGACGAACAGTCTAATAAAAACATAGAGACTAAACCAATTAACCGTCAATTTCTCTGGAAGTTAATAAATAGATGTCCTGTAAATGAGGTGGAGAGTTTTTAATTAATTCTTTCTTGGAATTTAATAAGGAGACGTTTTATAGAATATTTTCTGCTTTTGTTAAATTTTAAATTTACATCAAAGGGAAGGGCAGGGTGAGAAAAAAGTTACGATTCTTCGAAATTTTCTTCGGATCGAGTTTCTGTGTTCGGCTCGAAGGTGAAAAACACGCGATCGTCGGCTATCGGTAACCCGGCCATTCCGATACACAACAGGGAAGGGGAAGATTTTTGGTTGAAAAGAGTTTAGATTGATTTCCCTTCTCTTAAATTGTAGTAGAAATTAAAGAAATAATAATAAATTAAAAATGAAAATTTAAAAGTTATTCTTTTTTAAGGATTTCTATAAACGTCGACAGAAAGCTTACAGCCCTCATAAATTAGAATTGTTGGCTAACATTTATGATTTGGGCTGCCTTCCAGGGAAATATGAAAAAATAAACAAAAAAGATTTGGATAAGAAATGTAAAGTAATTGATAAAGAATATAATGAGGAATGCGAAGAGTAAAAAAAGCTTTAAATTTAATTAGTAACTAATCCAATTAAATTTTAAAGGGAAATGTGGTCGACATTTATTATTTGCTATAATTCGAAATTAGAAGGGGATGATGAACGTATTGAGGTATTTTATTGGGAATTTTTTGATTAAAGATTTGTTAAAAACAGCTCAAAAATAAAGAAAACGCATTCGAAAAAAAGTGTAAAAAACCAAGACAACACTCCATAGAAATGCGTGTTTGTGCAAGAAGAAAATCTTTCGAACGTGATAATGATAAAAATGAATATAAAATTGGATATAATGTTTATTCAAAAATTGGATTTTCATTCACCCATAAAAGGTAATATTAAAATAATTAAATTGTTTTTATTGTAGGGAATGTACTAGTAATTTAAAATTGCGGTACAACACTCGAAGTAACTATGATCACCTTACTATCTCAGATATGTACAAATCGATGCAATAGATGTCAGAAAAAACCTACAGCCTTTAGACATAAACCCTGAAGACTTAAACCTCTTTAAAAACTTTAACGAGTGGATCTGGAGGGATTAAAGGAGATAATGAAGAATATGAGATAACGGAAGATTTTAAAGCCATTGGGGATTTCGTTCCAATACTTTCATACGAAAATCTTAATATTTTTAAGTTACTCTTTTCAAAATTCTGTGACCATCACTGGACTTATTAACAAAACCAATGGATTTATGGAATCTCCATCAAAAGATAATGCAACCTTTACCATCTTCACACTTAAACTAGGCAATGAAGACACACACTTCGCTACCTTAGCTGGTTTGGATGGGAAGAAATTGGATTATGGATCAAGTGCAAAATATAGAATTAATTTGTTATTTAGCAAAAGGGATGGGCATAAAGAAAATAGTTTTCAAATGATTGCAGAAGGGGTATTGAAATTGTTTTATTTTTTGTGTCGTTTATCAAAGGCATCTTTCAAAAGTTCATTTTAAAAATTTGTGGGAGGAGGTTGACTAGAGTTTAGGACAGGAGATGACTCGTAAGTCGTTGAATTTGAAATGGACTGACGGTGCCATGTCACCCTCCCTCTTGCAAAATTTCACACAAATTTTATTCCTGTTTCTATAATACTTTAATAATACTTAAATAACATTTTTTAAACTGAAAATACAGAAAAATAGCCATAATTTTTTTGTTCTTTAAAGAACGAAGCAATTTCACTTCTTGGATTAGATATGGAATTGTGGAATTATTTTAGTAGCCTTTTTGATCAAATGGAATTTCCTTCAAATTCCTGTTATTTAAAATTAAAACTTGATGGATATGAATTTCATACTACTAGTCATTGCGTAAGGAATTTAATTTAAAATAAAATTTCCATTGTAATAATTTCAAATCGAAGTGTTTTCACTCTAATCTCTCTTACATTTAACAGGACATGTTTTCTGTCAATCAAAATTACATTACAAATCGTCTTGAAGTAAGGACAAGTTTAAGAAATCTTGCCTGTAATGTTGAGGAAGCAAGAAAGGAGAGAAATTCTGGTATCAGTCAATCAGAAATATGTAAATACAAATCTGCCGAAACAAACAAAATGAGAAAGTATTGTTGAATTTTAAAAATAAAACCGAAATATTTAATTCTTATAACTTAATTTTAGTTGGAACTCGGTTAATTTGACGCTTTGCTATCATACTAAATTTGGCAAGCAGGTATAATAGTCTGACCCCGATAGTTTTAATGATTTCTATTTCAGATAAAAAATAATCAAAAAAGTGATTATGCCAAGGCTTGTAAAACATATGAAGATGATGATGAATTTGGAAAACATGGAATTGAATTTAGAGTTTATGCAACAAGAATTGGATTTGAAAAATTAAAGGAAGAGTATTGGGTTAAATTTGGTGTTAATGTTATAATTGGTTTCTCATTTTCGGAAAAAACGTAGGTTATCAGTAGTAGAGTTCGAGATGTTATACATACACTCCTCCACAAAATTATAGTCCCACCTATATTTTTCTCGGTTTTCATACTGTATTCGTTCTTTTTATTTTCAGACTTTTTTGTAATAATAAATAGTGGTCTAAAATTAGGTCTATGCGAAAATTTTGTTTTCAAATGGATTTTTTCGAAAGTTATAGCAAATATCCAGTTTTAGGGTTCCACAAAATTATAGCCCCACTTTGAGATTTCGAGTTTCTAACATTAAGAAAAATCTACAAAAATTTGAGCTAACATATTTATGTATTCTAAGAAGAAACAAAAAGGAATTAGACCCATATCACATTTCGGTGTCGAGATCCAGATACCTCAAAAATCAACGTAAATAGGGGGTAAGGCTATTCAAAAAATATTTTCGAACCCTTATGGTTTGTTTTAAAATTTGAATTTGGGCTCATTCGAAAGCCCTTAAAATTTGCTAAAAGATTGCATAAGTATTATCTTCTAGAAAAATTATTTCAGTAAGCCCCATAATAATTATTTCAGTAGGCCCCCTAATGCCCCATAAAAGTAGCTCCGGAAGATTAACGTCCTGCATATCTCTATTAAATTTTTTCTGAGAGATATGAGTATTACTATCCTATAGCAAATTTCAAGGGCTTTCGAAAGAGCCCAAAACGAGAATTTAAAACTTTCGATAAGGGGTCGAAAATATTTTTTAATTAGCCTTACCCCCTATTTACGTTGATTTTCGAGGTATCTGGATCTCGACACTGAAGTGAGATATGAGTCTAATTCTTTTTTGTTTTTTCTTAGAATCGATTTATAAGTTAGAGTAAATTTTTGTAGATTTTTCTTAATGTAAGAAACTCGAAATTCCAAAGTGGGGCTATAATTTTGTGGAGCTCAAAATTGTGGATTTACCTATAACTTTCGAAAAAATCCATTTGAAAACAAAATTTTTTTATAAACGTAATTTTAGACCACTATTTATTATTACAAAAAAGTCTACAAATAAAAACAGCGGTTACAGTATTGAAATCGTGAAAAATATAGGTGGGGCTATAATTTTGTGGAGGAGTGTACATCCACAGCAAACATAAAATAGGCAGAGAGTGCAACCAGTGAGTCAGACCGGTTTTAATGTAGACTAAATTCAGGAGAATCGCATTTTTTAGCGGAAATGAGCAATTTAGAATGAAAATCTCATTAATATCTTGCGTAATTGACAGAACTGAATTTTCAAGGCATATCCGTGCATTTGCATGTTTTGCCAAACCATATTTATCGGATTTAAGTAATAGAAAACAAAAATTTAAACTGTCTTTTTATTAGTTAATAATTTTATGTTCAACATTTTAGGATTAAATTTGGCAAAACAATTAAAGTGACTGGGAAAATTGAAAGTTATCCTGGTGAAGAACCCTATCTTGACCCGTTAAATGGAACGGAAAATAATATTAAATTATTTGCAATACAATTGGGAAATAATGGAATGAATTTTGCAGTTTTGACTGATGAAATGAATGGAAATGTTTATGATTATGGAAGTTCTGTTATTGGAAATCTTGAACATAAAGACATTCAGGAAATAATAGAAGAGGTACATAAATCTAAATTTTTTTAAAAGGAAATAGTAAAGAAAGAAAGACAAATGATCGGAGGTTTATTATTTTATGTTTTGTCATTTTCATTGATCGGTACTGTCGAGTTTTTTGGAGTTAATTAATTGGAACATAATCAAAGAGAAATTTATCAGGGTGGCGCAATGGCATTGATCGGGCCTGACATCAATAAAGAAAGGAAGCAGTTATTTGCTACAAATTTTGAAATTATTTCTGTACCAGAAAAATCTTGCTTTGGTTCAATAGAGTTAAGGCTAAACAATGAATTGGTTGAAAAGGAATTTAGTTGTGTAAGTTTTTTCACTTGAAATTTCCCATTTTTATAGGAGTACAAAAAACTCAATAAAACGGATGAAATAAGAATCATAATGTTAGAATCCGGACCGGATCCGGTGATCCGGAATCCGGGTTTTTGATTAAACCCTGATTTTCTTATAAAATTTTAATTTTAAATTGATATTCCTCTCGAGGAGATTAGCCTTGGGACTCGTCTTACCTTGGGGGAGGGGAGGCAAGTCTTACAAAGAGGAACCAAGTATAACATAGTGATGTCTGGCTGAAGTTATTCATGTACATTTTATTTCTCGGCCAAAACCCTTTCAATCATAAATTTTCTCTCTTGACTCCAAAAATATCGCTAGAAAATTTCAAATACCTAAACGAATATATTTAGTATAAACGCAGTCCAAACCAATGTGATCAACTTGGACTAGAGGAATACAACAAACATAAAAAGACATTTAATGAATTCTTGGAACTAAGTATAAAGTGTCCTTGCGATACAGAACCTCGTCCACCACATATAGTAAAATAATTATAAAATTTTAATGTAACTAATGTTCGATAAATTTTAGACCGAGGATTGGTTAAATATACCTCCTGGAGCTAGAGTTAAACGAAGTGTAAAAGACAAGCCTTTATTAGGAATTCGTGATGCTGATGGATTGATTCACGGCTGTGAAGATGCCGATGATACTGTTATTGGTGATATTGTGTATATGCCTGGGGAGGTAGAGCAACTAATCGTTGAGCAGCGTAAATGTAAAATTCCAAATAGTTTAAACTTTATCCATTAAGAAATTTAGGTTGTAAAAAAACAACTAATAAAAGACAAACTCGTACTAAGAGACAATTTATGAATATTTTGAAGAAGGATATGGAACAGCATATGTGGAAAATGCCAATTATTTATGCTTTTTCTCATGATGATGGTTTAAATCTCAGATAATATTAAATAAATATTAAATTTTAGGAGATTGGATGGAAATTATAGATAAAGCTATAAAAAGTTTAAGGTAAGTTATTAAATGAAAATCTCTAGCTTAAAATTTTGACTGACTTCAGTAATCTTGTAAAGTTTAAAAAATTACACAATGTCCGAAACATAGAATTCATCATTACAAGCAGACGTTAAAAACAAAATATAAAATTTGAAGAAAAAATACTAAAACACCTTTGTCTTATCTTTTATAACAATGCCAAAATTTTCATTAAAAATTATTAACGTTTTAGTCGACACACATGTTTGAAATTTGAAAGAGTTGATAAATGGTCCGCTCATGATTTTGAATTTATGTATCATGCTGCATGGTGCAATTCGCATGTCGGAATTTTCTGGTATACAAAAGAAAAATCGGAAGATACCAATATTTCATCACATCATGTTAATGTTCCACCGAATGTTGGTTGTCTATCGGTAATAAATTACTTATTAAATTTTTTTGATTGTACAAATTAAATTTGGGATTTAAGAATTATTTAAATGAAAAAACTAGGGGGTGGTAGAGTCCTGTTTGGTGGTGCCTTAAAGGGGGCCTTTTAAAACAAATTAAATTTTATTAATAATTATTTAGGTCGGAACCGTAATTCATGAAATTATGCATGCATTAGGTATTAGGCATGAAATGAGTAGGTTTGATCGCAATGAACAACTTTGGATCAATTATAAAAATATTAATTCAGTTAGTTGAATTTTACATATTTTTGAAAACGTTTGGGATAGACTATTTCAATTTCCTTGTTCACCTTTTCAAATCCGGTTCTAAATTACTGTTTGCAAATAATATTCTGTTTTCAATGAAACACATAACGTTCTTCCTAAAATTCTAATGTCTAAACCGAGATTTTTAAAAAAGTTTATATAATTTTTCAAAATCTAATTAAATTTACTGAATTTTATCAAATATTCACTAAATATTTGATAAGTTTTTCATTAAGCAAGCAAAAATTTTTATAATTTAAATTATATAATTGGATGAAATCGGGTTTTTAAATACATAATGAATTTTTAAAAATTAGAATGACTACCTAAATTTTTTTTGCACATAAACTAATCAAATTCAATTAAGAGCCATTGGGGGACCTACAAACAATATAGTCCACTGTATTTTGGAACTCCATATGATTATGGGTCAATAATGCATTACTCACCACATGGAGGATTAGATAAAACGTATAAAAATAAATTGAAATAAATTCAATCATTTATTTAGCAAATTTACAATGGTTGCTTTGAAACAAGAATATCAAAGTACAATGGGACAAGGAGTTGAACCTTCTTTTAAAGATATAAAACTTCTGAACAGGCTATACTGTGAGTAATTGAGTTGTCGTATCTGAGCTATCCGGTTTCCGATAACTTGAGATTATTCTTATAGAAAGAAGTATAATTCTTATTTAAAATTGCTTTTCTCAATAGAATGTATCATAAATATTTAAAGGAACTTTTAAGGTACAAGTGAATATCCACATAAATCTACACTATCTAAATCAATTAATTTGAAATGTGATATAAAAGAATATGAATTAGATTATGGAGAATGTAAGAATGGCGGGTTTCCAGACCCATTAAATGATTGTAACTGTCGATGTCCTGATGGATATGGTGGAGATTTTTGTACAAAATATGAATGTAATTATACATTTTGCTTTGAATTAGTAAATAAAAATAAAATGTTTAGATGAAAAGTGCATGGTTGTTGAGTTAACAGCAAAAGTTGAAGTACAAAATATTAACTCGGATGCGTTTCGGGTTCTAAATTTTATTAAAGGTCAAATAGTATTATGCTTTTTTGTCATTAAGGTAAATTTTGAATAAAGTCCTTGTTTTGATTATGTAGTCCTCGATTTTTATATACTTTTTACTGTTCCCCGAAGAAAATATAAAATCTAAATCCGACTACATATTTTTCCAAATGTGAATTGTATACCTTGTGACTAAGGTTAATTTAGAGATGAGATAAGATGAAGGTTTTGGGGTAAATTACTGTGGGTATAACATACTGAGATCTGATCGTATGAGAGTATATTACATCAAGTTTTTGCATTAAAATTTAATTTTTAGCCAAAGGAAAGTAATTCTGATCGAATCGAAGCAAAACGTACATTAATCGAGATCAGAAAAATGGAAGGGTTTGAATGCAGATATCCTTGTCGAAATAATTACATAGAAATTAAATTTCTCAAAGACAAAACGGCAACGGGTTTGTATTTCTTAGAAATATTTTTAAACATATTCTTAGGTGCTAGAATTTGTTGTGACAAAATTCTAACTATTAGTTCTGAAGAATATACTGATGTATTAATAATGAAAAAAGGAAATATTGGAGAATATGACATTAGTTTCAAAGCTGGTAAATTATTTTAGGGAAAAAATTAAAAATATAAATTATTTTTTACGCACGCTAAAATAATGCTCAAAAAATTTTTCTGTATTTATGAAAAATATTTAAAAAGAATTTTTATAGAAATTTTTATAAATCCGAGAATCTTAGTGTTGAGTTTTAAGAAATATAAATTTTTTAAGATTCTTGTGGTCTAGTTACTTTTGAATAGATAAATTTTCAATTGACCGCCGATCCTAATTGAGTTATCCTTAAAGAAAATGAACATAAAGTCTAAAGCTTTAAATATGTAATTATTAAATATAATTTAGAACTTGCACCTTCACAATATTCTTCAAATTGCAAAGAAGTGCGTAAATCAATCTGGAATCCAAATAATTTGCAAACTCTACAAGAATTATACGTGTTAGATGAAAAAGGAACACACACTTTGGACCTAGCCTTTGCATAGCATGCCATAGAAAGGATGCGATGATTGTTTGTTTTTGTTTAGTTTAGTTCAACGGTTTATTTAAGATTAATGGCATACACTTTAGTCGAAATGACTGTGTAGAAGATAATGATCCAAATCCAGATTGCCGTTATCGAACATGTTTTTACTGCAAGGTAATAATTTACATAATTTAAATTGAAGGAATCAAAACTTTTTAGTTATCTCCTATTTCCCTGAAATGGATATAACGATGAAACTTCATTCTAATTCCTTGTATATCCATTTTTTACCCTCGGAGTCTGAACATGTTAAAATGTAAATCTTTAAATGAAAAATGTAAAAAATATTGCCGTTAGTAGGATTCGAATCTTGAGAAAATTAAGGTTCCAAACCGTCTCTTAAACAAATGTTGAGCTATTATGTTAATCCTGGAAACACATTAATCGAAAATTGTGAACTCAAATTGTTAAATTAAATTTAAAAAAATTAATTAAAAATTCAGACTGTGGAAGGTTCCAATGATGCAAATTGGTATTGGCAGAATCCGGAAGGTGAATGGATTCTTGTCAATCTTATGGATTGTTATCCAAATAAAGGACTAAATGACTAGAACGTTTCCAAGTTAATTTTTTTTCCGAGTTAATTTTTTTTCTGCAACACCCAATAATTTTATTAACTTATACTATTAAATACTTATTAAATAATTGTGTTAAATTAGATGTTTTATACTTTTTAATACATAGATAATTGATATATAAATACAGTCATATTAAATTGTGCTTTTTGCAAAGTTACAAATCTTAAGCTTAGTGCAATTATTCAAAAATTTGACAATATAATATACTGTATATACTACTTTTGAGAGCATTATTTTTCAACCCTCCTCCAAAGCGGACTGATTAAAAAATAATGTAAAATAATTTTAAATTTTTCTAAATAATTATGTCATAAAAAATAAATTTCGGGAAATAAAAATAAAACAACCATGAAAAATTAAAATATTATTTATTTAATGTAAAAATTAAAAATTTTAAATAAAATAGTCAGAATATTAAGAGAAATTGAATAACAATATTACGATCCACATCAAAATATTTGTTCATTTTAATGACGTTATTATTAAGATGACGTGTTATTTTTTGCCTATATTTGAATGAAGAAAGACAAATATTGTTTAATAAAATATAAAATGACAAAAATTTCTAATTATTTTAAATTCTAACGATGGATAAAAAGTCCGGAAAAGGAATGCCTTCTTAGTAAGAAAAGTAAAGTTTTACTAAATATCTTAGTAAAAATACAACTTATTTTTAATTTTGCTTGAAAAAACAGCTGATTAAAGTCTTATAAATGAGAGAATAATCCGAACATAATAAACATAAATATTTTTAAATTCTAATCTTAAAACCCCGTCAAAATACTAAAATAAAAATGTATTCTTCAACTCTTTGCTTTTTATTCGTAGTTGCTTTAATTGCACAAATTGTGGATTTGGCACCTCCACCTGCTCCCGTTGTTGCTATTGATAAGGTATTTTATAATTAGATATGGGGTCATGCATTTACGGAAATAATATAAGCTACCTCTGGGCATTCACTCTAGGTACTTCACAAAATTACAAAAGTACTCTCCCTAAGTACCTCAGTAATTCCAGAAGATATGTGCAATATCTAATATCGATATCATAAATTTATTTATCTTAAGCCAAAACAATTTCGTGTTAAAAGAGCAAGATGCTACAATTACAACATTCGCACGCAACAATTTAAAAATCCACGTTGCCCTAGATGTCCAGCTTCTTCTTCAATGTCATCAAAAAATCCAAACTGGGCTACTTGTTGTTATTAAGAAGGATTTTCTAATTTTTGTAAAATAATAAAAAGCTCTAACTATAAGATAATTCACAAGAGTTAGCTAATGTTAAACAAAATATGAATTTTTAATTAAATAAAAAGTGTATCTTTCAGCAAACTTATTGCAACAGTTTTATGGAAATTTTTATATCCGAGTTTTAATGTAGAAAACTAGATTCTTAGACAAACTAAAAGTTTTTCAAACTCAATACTTTAATATTAGATTCATTTCTCAGATTTACTGAACTAAAACCCTATATAGATAATATAAATTTATCTTATAAAAAAGTTATCTTATAAAACTTTTATATTTTTAATTGTACATATTTAATTAATTTAAATATTTATTTTAAATATATTTGGTGGGTACACCCCAACGTACCGCGAGCCCAACGTACCGCAGAGCTATAACTCTGTTCAAAATGGTCGAATCCGGGACGCCTTGGTATGGTTCGATGCGCCTCGGTGAGCTGAATCGAACCATACAAGGGCGCCCGGATTCGACAATTCTGAACAGAGTTATAGCTCTGCGGTACGTTGGGCTCGCGGTACGTTGGCCTGCTCCCATATTTGGTGATAGTTTGGAAGTCGCCCAGCCTTTTGCCTTTTTATTTATTATTTTTAATTTTTTCATTTTATGTCAAATTATATATTAGAAAGAGGATGTTTCAAAACGTCATTTTTCGTATTTTTTAATTTTTTAGAGACAGAGTCCCGATATTTTGGACAGCCCGGTACTTTGTTCATAAACCATCCCCAACCCTATTAGAGTCTCAGACTAATTTTTATTTTTTGCCTCGGAATGTCAAATTTCCTCTATAAATGTTGATTTTTCCCTTTAGGTTGAGTTGTGCCATACCGTTTATTTTTTCCTTCATTCTAGCTTAAATCCTACTTATAATGTTTGAGGGAAATTAATGATTCACAGCAAAAAAGGAAAATTAATCCAAGACTCTAATAGGAGTGGGGTAAACAAATATAATAAAATTTTATTAAACAAATATAATAAAACAATATAATAAAATTAAACAAATATAAACAAATATAAACAAATATAATCAGTACTTGTAAACAAAGTACTGACAGCCCTACTATGTACATAATTAATAATAAATATGCCATAAGTTTATCTAGATATGATCCTTCTGACAAAATATTGACAAAGTATTTTTTAAAAATCAAAAAGAATTTATTCGTTTGTGAATATTTTAAATTTAAAAAAAATATGGGATGTTATATTTAGTGACCGGCGCGGGACGGGATCCCGCGCGGGATTTTGCGGGATCCCGTCCCGCAATCCCGCACTTTTTTCGATTTGCGGGATTTTGCGGGAGTGCGGGATTTTGCGGGAGTGCGGGATTTTGCGGGGTTTATCCCGCAAAACATACATAAATCCATTCACAATCCACATTATTTACATGTATGGAATTTATCCCGCAAAATCCCGTAAATGCGATTTTGCCGGTTACTAGTTTATATTCTTGAATTTAAAAACACAACTAATTAAAAATTAAGCTAAGATTATTAATATTTTTGGTTTTTGGAAAAGAGAAAGAATGACTGGAAATATTTAATCATTTAATCCTTTATTCGGGTAACAATCCACATTATTTACATGAATCCATTCACCTGCAGGATTCTGCCAATACCAATTTGCTTTACACAGTCTGAATTTTTAATTTATTTTTTAGTTTTGATTATTCTTAATAGTCCATAAATACGTTTTGCCTACCGAAATGCTAATATCGATGGGGCAAATATAGCTTTGTTTAAATTATTACCCTGCAATAAAAACATGCTTCATAAGTACAATTTAGATTTGGGTCATTATCTTCAACACAGTTATTTCGAGGAAAGTGTAAACCATTAATCTTAAACAAATGATTAAAATAATTTAAACCTAAGAACAAACAATCATAGAATGATTCCTCCTGCAGACTAAGCAAAATGCAGGTCCAAAGTGTGGATTTGCTACAACAAATTCTCCTTTTTCATTTTTCACAAATAATTCATAGGGAGTTTGCAAATTATTTGGATTCCAAATTGATTTACGCACTTCTATGCAATTTGAAGATTCTTGTGAAGGTGTAAGTTCTAAAAAATATTTCAATATTTATTTAGAGCTCTAGACTTATTGCCCAATTAGTCTTTATGAATAAAACTATTCTTGTTCAATGAAAATGTATAAAACTTATCGAAAATTAAACAGACCCACAAGATTTAAAAAATTTAGTAATTTAATTCATTTAACACCAAGAGTTTTGGTAGTTGTATTATTTTCTCTTGTGAAATTAAATTACTTTTTGAATATGTTTTTTTCTTAAAAACATCAAAATGTCGGGAACATTACTATTTTCGCAGCGAGTTGTTTTCCTAAAATAACTTACCAGCTTTGTAACTAATGTCGTATTCTAGTATCCAACCCTTAATCATAATTAATACTTCAGTATTTTCTTCAGAACTAATAGTTAGAATTCTGTCATTTTTTGTGTCACAACAAATTCTAGCTCCTAAAAATGTTGAAAAAATATTTCTAAAACACACGATCCAAACCAGTTGGTGTTTTATCCTTGAAATATTTAATTTCTATATAATTATCTCGACAAGGGTAACCACAGTTGTCTCCTGACAAGCCCTTTATTTTTCTAACTTCTATTAATGTACGTTTTGCTTTGATTTGATCAGGATTAGTTTCTTTTGGCTAAAAATTAAATTTTGTTTACAAGTAAAAATTAAGTTAATATTCTTTAATACAATTGAACCTCATTATGTGTATTTACTAGTGTTATTCACGGTACCGTATTACCGCGGTATTTTTACCGAAATACCGATACCGAATACGGTACCGAACAATTTTTAAAAAATCGGTATTTTTTCGGGGAAAAATTCCGTCATATGTCCCGGAAACCGATTCGGACGAACGATATGTCATTCGAAAGATCTCGCCGAGCTGAGTCGAACGGCACCAAAATTAGCTTGGGGACTCACATATGGGCCGAGATATAGGTCCCCGAAAATCGAAAAACAAAAGGGGGGACCAAGCACTTTTTTGGGGTGAAAAATTCGATTTTACAAATGATAGCTCATTCGAAAGAGCTCCTTGAGCAGAGTCGAATGACACCGAAATCGCCGTAATTGAACAAGTTTAGACAAAGTTACAACACAAAAAAACAAACAACATAAACCTATGGGGCGTCGGCGAGGCGCTTGTGCAAAACCTCGCGCTTCGCGCGAGGTTTTGCGGCACGCGCCTCGCGGGGAGTCTACGGGCGCTGGGTCTGGGTTCGTAACATAAACTTATGCCTAATTTAGCTGCGGTCGGCATTCTGGCTTCCTCCGCAGCAGCAAAAACCTGCACGTAGGCAAAGGTAAGGAGCCAAAACAAATGGTCATAACTTTGTCAAACCAAGTCGGATTTCGCTGATATTGGTCACATTCGACTCAGCTCGAGGAGCTCTTTCGAATGAGGTATAATTTGCATGTTCGAATTTTTCACCCCAAAAAAAGTGCTTGGTCCCCCCTGTTGTTTTTCGATATTCGGGGACCTATATCTCGGCCCATATGTGAGTCCCCAAGCTAATTTTGGTGACGTTCGACTCAGCTCGGCGAGATCTTTCGAATGACATATCGTTCGTCCGAATCGGTTTCCGGGACATATGACGGAATTTTACCTTTTTCGGTATCGGTATTTTACCGAAAATACCGATACCGATACCGAAAAATCGCGTTTGAATAACACTAGTATTTACACAGTGTACAGTGTCGGACATTTATGTAAATAGGGAAAATGTTTTTAGCAGACCTGTGCATGGACACGGATTTTGCTATCCGTATCCGGATATATCCGTAGGTTCAATATCCGTATCCGTTTGTATCCGTCCAACTTTTGAGTCATATCCGCGGATATAGTCATATCCGCGGATATATCCGTTTTTTCTCAAAATGGTCAGCCTGACCACACTTTTCAAAATGGTCAAATTTATTTGAATTTGAGTAATGGTTAGATAACGAGGTAATAACTGTATGCAGCAAAACGAACCTTGCTTATTGTAAGGAAGAGAAAGAGAGAAAGATCCAGCTGGCTAGCATTTAAAACGCTGACTGCAGGGGTTTAAGATCTAATAAAAGAGAAGGTGAAAGAAGCGTCCCGGTAGCTCAGTTAGTAGAGCACCTGTACGTGGTGAGCGAAACCGACAAAAAATAAAATTTTGAAAATTTTTTAGAATTTTTGAAAATTTAAATTACCGATTTCGGGCCGAAATGAAAATTTCGGTTAACTGACCAGTTGATTTCAGCATCGCAGGCAAAAATTTTGAGAATTATAAACCCTAGTATTAAGATTTCAGATAAAAAAATCAATACGCCGAAATGGCACCCGCAAAATCTGAATTACAACAAGTAATGGACAAGTTGGCTGCCTTAGAATCAAAAATCGATAATAACAACATAAAATTTTCTTCTTTCTCTAATGAAATTCTTCAAATCAAAAATGCTTTAACAACAATTGAATCAAAAATTCAAACTGTTGAAACAACAATTGAAACAAATTTTAAAAATAATGAATCATCAGCAAGCGAACAAGAACGAAATCGTTCTATTGTTATTATTGGACTACAAGAATCTAAATCAACAACACCATCAACACGTGTTAGTGAAGACAAAGCTTCTGTCGAAGACGTACTCAACTTGTTGGGGGTTGAGAGCCCATTCATTTCATATAGAATGGGTAAGCATGACCCAACTGCTAAAAGTTGTCGTTTGATTAAAATTGTTTTTGGTGCCTCAAAGTTTCAGAGAATTGCGTTTGCTGAATGGAAACGACACAGATTGGAAATGAAAAAAGAAACTAAATGGTCTCGTTTGTTGATTAGGCCAAGCCTTACTCGTGAACAATTGGAAGCTGAAAAAAATGAACGTGCTAAGAAACGAGAAGAATACAATAAAAAGATGAGTGTCAACGTGACAGAAAGAACAAAAAACCATTAAATGGTCGTCCAAGATTCAAGGTTTCAAAAAATTTTTTAAAGAGTTACCCTTTTTACAAATGTCTTTATTTTAATAGCCGGAGCTTAGTTAACAAACTAGATTCCTTAAGATTACTTTTAATTTCCAAATCCTTTAAAATAATCTGTATTTCCGAATCGTGGTTGAACAAAAATATCGATAACTCCCAAATTTTACATAACGCATCCTATTCCATTATTAGATGCGATAGAGGTTCTAGGGGCGGTGGTGCTTGTATCTTAGTAGACAATATAATTCCTTTCTCTCCCGTTAAAATCCCTAAAAATAAAAATTCCGACGTTGTAGCTATAGACATCTATTCTCCCAAATTCGACAAATTTCGAATAATAACTGTTTACCGTCCTACCACAAACGAAAACTTTAATGACTTCCAAGAATTTCTTGAGACATTAAGTTACTTAATATCCATTAATCATAACTACATAATTGTAGGTGATTTTAATTTCCCCAACCTAGTCTGGCAGACAAATATGCCTATAGCTCTCAACCACAAATCACCGACTGAAAAATTATTTATTGAATTTGTAGAAAACTATAACTTATTTCAAGAAATCTCTTCCCCAACCAGACAAGATAATTATCTTGATTTACTTTTTTCCTCTTCCGCCTTTCGCGTTGCTAAAAATATTATCATTAATGCCCCTTTTAAAAATTCTGACCATAACACCATTGAATTTAACCTAAATTTCAAATACTTTCCAAAAGAACCAGAATTTATCCATGACTTCCACAATGCCGATTACAACCAAATTAACAATATTCTAATTGGTTTAAACTGGAATAATTTGTTTATAAATTGTACTGATGTAGACTCTCAATATACCCTATTCTTAGATATCATTCATCAAATAATTCAAAATTTTATACCATTAAAAACGATTAATAAAGATTCTCCTAAATTCCCAAAACATATTCAAAAAATGATCTCATATAAAAACCTTCTTTGGAAAAATATTAATAAACCTGCTATCCGTGAAAAATACATTCTCACACAACAAAAAATCGATAAAGAAATTTCTCGTTTCTTTAAGAATAGAGAAATCTCGAAATTCAACGACCAACGATCTAGATTTCAGTATATAGGTGCCTTCCTTAAATCCAAAAAAACCAATATCCCAATCTTCAACATTAATGATCAAATTACCATATAGACAAAGATAAAGCCGAATGTCTGGCAAAACAATTTCAATCTGTTTTTAATTCTTCTAACTTTGACTCCTCTGATATAAAAACCTTTAACAAAAATACTTTATCTTTTATTGATATCAATCCAGAGGAAATCTACAGCATCATAAACAAACTGGATAATGTTAATAACATATCCCCTGACGGAATCCCCAACATTTTCTTAAAAAATACAGCAATCTCATTAACCACTCCATTAACAATTATATTTAATATGTCAATCATGACTAATAAAATTCCAGCCATTTGGAAAAAGTCAATAATTCGACCTATTCCTAAAAATAGAAACCCTAATGAACCTAAGGATTTCCGACCTATCTCTCTCCTATGCTCAACTTCGAAAATTCTAGAACGAATTATCACTAATAAATTAACTTCATTCCTTGAAACTAACAATTACCTTCCCACTTGTCAACATGGTTTTCGTAAAAACCATTCAGTTACAACCCAACTCCTAGAAACCTATAACGACTACACATTAGCTATAGAAAATAAGAAATGTGTTGACGTTATATTCTTCGACCTAGCAAAAGCTTTCGATACTGTTCCCCACGATCGCCTTCTGAAAAAACTCTATCATCTAGGTATCACTGGCGCTTTACTAAATTGGATTGAGGACTATTTGTTAAATCGAACTTTTACCGTTCTGGTCGACTCTAAAAATTCTAATGAATATCCTATAACAAGTGGAGTTCCTCAAGGATCCATCCTTGGCCCGATTTTATTCATCTCATATATTTCCGATATAATAGATATCTGTAAAACAGATAATGTTACACCCAAACTATTTGCTGACGATTTAAAGGCCTATACCTGCTTTGACTCCCTAAATAAAAATCACTACTCTCCACTCCAAACATTTATCCAAACATTCTCAAAATACTGCGAAACAAATGGCCTTAAAATCGCTGTCAGCAAATGTAGTTCATTTCACATAGGAATTAAAAATCCCTTCCACAAATATACTCTACAAAACATTAATATACCAATTATTCCACCCAACGAACCTATCCGTGATCTTGGCATCTATTTTACATCAAACTTAAAATGGGATTCTCACATTAAAATTACAACAAACAAAGCAACTAGAATCTATTACACTCTTATAAGATCTCTTAAAACTAATAACACTCAATTCCTAATTACTCTATTTAAAATATATGTCCTACCTATCCTCGAATTTGGATCTCCTATAATTAACCCTCATTTAAATAAAGATATAAACGCTTTAGAAATTGTGCAACATAAATTCTTAAAAATAATATACTTACGCTCTATGAAACACAATAACAGCCCAATATTACCTAATTATAAAGAACTCCTTGACATATTCAAACTTGAATCTCTATCGCATAGACGTTTAAAATCAAATCTTATCCTTTTCCATAATATTATTTTAGGTAAAATTAATCTAAAACACGATAATGCATATAGCATTCTACCCACCACTACCAGAGGTAATCCGCATAATTTATTTATACCCTT